GTTAATTGATCAGTCATGCACTTGTGAAAATGAAGTGTAAAGTAGTCCATCTTATTCTGCTTCCAGTCAAGATGGAAAAATGGGAACTATTTTTCCTGAAATAACTCTTTTAATCACTGTAAAAAGTATAAGGAATCAGTTTTTAGTCATCAGGTGTCTTTGAGAGATGGCACATGAAGCTGAGCATTGTAACTGCTCCCATGACTCCCCAAAACAGCTTCCAGGAAGCAGCCCTGTGAGTGGGGACCACAGAGAAGTTGTGAATCTCTTTGAGGAAACTGAGTCAGAACAATGGAAGATGGGACAGAAGCCCTAGAGAACACGGTTGTGTAGAGAAGGATCTCAAAAGTTTGTAGAGTGTCACTATCAAGTTTCTAGCTAAGTACCAAGAAAGACAGGTATGTGTTAAAACTACAGGCAGTCAGAAGCATAGACAACCATCCCTGCCAGCCAGCCAGGGATGAACAGTATAATTCTACAGAGCAGTGGGTAGAGAATTCAAGAAGAGTTTTCCCTCAGAGTTTGACAGATACTAACCTTAAATTAAGTCTGTTCTGGAACTGACTACAGAAACTTAAGAATATGAATAAAAGTCTTTCTATGCAGCTTAAATACATTCCAAAGCAGAGTTCAGTACAATGATATATAAGCAAAAATGAAATGTTATTTTCTCAACCTGTTAAATCAGAGCTGCAAAAATAGCAATACCTAACATCATACCTACTACTGGAAGATTAAATATTTCATTGCAGAGAAAAGAGAAAAGGCAAAAATACTCTTTCTCAGTCAATTCTATTTAACTTGTGTAGGATTTACAAGTTCAAGAAGCAAGACAAGACAAAAATAAATACATAAAAATTATCTAAATTGGAAAAAAAGAATTTATTCTCTGATGTAAGTTTCTGTATGAACTACACACATGCACGAACACACACACACACACATAAATCCTACTAAAATTAAAAAACAAGATTACAAAATTTTCAAAAAAGCACAATATTTTCACTTGTCAAAAATGAATAATAAAATCTTTAAGTAAAAACTTTAAAAAGCATAAAAATACAAGCACTCTAAGATAAACTGACAAAATACACAGCACTTAGGGATGCATCAGGCAAACCTCATGTACAGAAAACTACAAAGAATGCCGAAAATAAAATTTCAAATGATTGAAATAAGCAAAGATATGAGTATACAATTTCCATGGGTTAGGAGATCTATTTATTAGCCTGCCTGTTCTTTCTAATTTATTATTATATTCAAGTAAATGCAACTCAAAATCCTAACACAGTTTTCTGTAAAAATTGGAAAATTGAGAGCAAAGGAAAAAAGCCTAGAACAATAAATGTAGTTTGAAGCAGAAAAATTGCCAGGTTTGTGACATCTGAACTTCAGATTTTTTTGTAAATCTAAAGTACTCAAGGCCACATACTGTCAATGTGGGTGTACACAGAGAGACAATGGAAAGAACAGAAAGTTCAGAAAAGACCCACACATGGATTCTTGATTAAATTTTAAAAGTTACCAAACACAAAAATAAAAGGCTATTTGGAAATATAATCTTGAAATCAGAGCTTTTGAATGCCGCTGAAAAGAATTTCAATGGTCACTATCATTCTAGGAGAGCAGTTTCAAATTTTGTGAAAACAAACTCTACCCAAACTTACTGTTCCTAAGTAATTTAATAGAAATGAAAGTATGCACCTAAAGCAAAGATTGTTTCTGATTGTGTGCATAGAAAACAGCTTCAGTTTACCCTAAATCAGAAAAAAACTTGATAGTCCATCTGGAGGTCAGTGGATAAACAAATGTGGCTTATCCATGCCCAGTAGAATGATATTCTGCAACAAAGGGTCCCAAGCACATGATGACATGAGTAAACCTTAACGAATTACTCTGAGTGAACAAAGACAGAGAGAGGAAGTTTGATCTCCCAATACCAAGATTTAGAAAATGTCAACTCTCTACAGCAGAAGACACACTCAATTGTCTGGGGTAGGCAGTTGAAAAGAGACTAGTGTGGGAATCCTCAGTGGCACTTGGAAAACTTCAAAGAAATAAATGTCTTCACGGGGGTGATTTTGTCAAAGCTGTACACATGTACATCAAAACTTGATAAAAGATATATATTTTAATATGTGCAATTTTATCGTGCATTGGTTTTGTCTCAAATATACGCTTCAAAGAACTTTATATTTTGCCAATGTTTGTATTTTTAAAAAGCATTTCAGGGCCTGGGGTGATGGCTTAGCAAATGAGAGGACTTGCTGCTCTTTCCCCTGAGTGAAGATGGATTCCTGGCACCCACTTGGCAGTTAGAGCCACCGGTAATTCCTGTTCTACGGGATTGGATGCCCTCTTCTGGCCTCCCCAGGCACTGCACACACTTATTGCACAGACATGCATAAAGGCAAAAAAAAAAATCCATACACATAAAAAATAAAAATAAATAGTTTTAAATTTTTCAAAAGTTTGGACTAAATTTTTATTTGTAAAAGAGTTTTAAACTGTTAGAAAATCAAAGGGAAGAGGCAGCATTTGGTGGGGGAAACAAGAATAAAACTTGTTTTGCTCCCCAGTAACCTTCCTAATTTATATAAGTTGAAACCCTCGTTCCATCACATGGTACAAGTATGTGAAATTTCTGCTAATTCTTTATGGAACAATAGTGTGTTCACACTTGGTAAATACTCCTACAAGTCCACACATAGCTTTTACATCCAGTGAAAATTGTCCACATTCAATAAATTATCAGGCAATTGAGTGATTGAGAATCAAAAAAAAAATTCATCATGTTGACACGTCGTTCCACATCTCTTTGTGTGGAAGAATTTATATTTTCGGCCAACAGTAATAGCTCAGTGCTTTTGAGGGGTTATATATTGATTTAAATAATTTGTGTGTACCTTCTCAAACAATTACACTGGTATTTTGCTACTGTTGAAAAATACCTGACATTGTGTTCGTATTAACATATAGAATTTTATGCGGCATACATAGTTTTAGGGAAAATATTTTGATTCATCTAGATGTTTTCATGCATAATAAGTAGAGCTGAGAATCCCTTTTTCACATTTCGGGTTATAAATGAAATCTGTCTAAGGAGTGTCCCCATTCTCACACCATCTTTGTTATGCAGAACACATCTACACCTGTCACATAAACAAAAAGCAGGAGTCCTTTAAAGCAATAGAGAAAGACTAGGGAACATTTCCTTTTTATTTTTGTAATTCTCAGAGTTTTAAATGTGTATTCAATATAGATAGATTTTCAATGTGATGGTAGTAGTTACAATAAATAATGGCAATGGGTCCATTTCAGGCTAAGTAAAATAGATAATCGTGAACATCAAGTGAAAAATCTCTCAGTTTTTTAATGTAAAACAAGATTTTTTTTCAAACTTGCTAGCTTCTGTGGCCATGGAGAACACAAGCCACCCATCTTTGTGTAAGCTGGCATATAATATTGCTTCCTATGGATTTGTTTACCTAGTTAAAAAAAGGAAAGTCCACTGACTTTTGTTTTCACAATAAAGCAATGCTCAAGCAAGATAAGTAGTAACTATACCCTAAGATTCTTAAGAAAATGTCATCAAAATTGCTCTCCAGAACATATTAAACTTTTTCCCCGATCTTGTGTGGTATTCTGCTTTGCTACACCTAATTAGTTGTGCTATGTTAACGGCCTTTCAAAGGAAAATTATGCTATTGCTGATTTTTGTAGCTGAAGTGTATGACTATAATTTAAATCCTGATGCTTTCCTTTCACATATTTCAAAACTTTATAAAAAGATAGTAAATATAGAGGAAATTCCCTTGTCTTGAAAGGAATAATAATAATACGCTAACATTATTGTTTATTTCCCTGACATAACTTTTAATGCAGTCATACAAATTTTACCTAAATAATCCTTAAACAGTATCTTTAACTAGTTATTTAGTGCAAAGGATTTTGAATAAATTATGTTGTTATTATTATTCAATACAAAACTGAACATAAGTGCCATAGGCACTGATCATTCTGGGTTATTACAAGAGCTTGTATCATAAAATTTAATAATTATGGTAAAAGAGGAAAAAATGAAATTACAGGTAAGTGTGCACTTAACATATGGTTTCATTATTAAAATCAACAAGTGACATTGCAATCTATAAACTATAGCATTATCAAAAACTGGAGTATCTAGACCTCATTGTCTTAGACATAAACCATGTTCACTTATGTCTATTGTTAAAGAGAAATTTGGTGTTCTCACTGTGGGGCTCCCATTTCATTGTGTCCAGTAAAAATCAATAGACATTTAAAGGATCTATTCCTAGTCTTTTCAAACTAAGTATTTTAAAATTCTATTATCCCTGCCTTCTGTATTCTTCTTCTTCTCTCTCTCTCTCTTCTTAACCAGTGAGCCACAGTCTAGCCACTGATGAGGTGTCTGAGTTTAATGGCTTCACTTCTTTCTCCTCCCCAGAGTAGTGATTTTATCCTGCAATTGCCTTTTTCCCTCCTGTCAAATCTTCTACAACATAATCCATCAAGCCCTTCTTGAGTCGTCTCTACTTATTTCTCTTCTTCAGGTGTGATGAAATTCCTCTTCTGAGTTAATGTTGAAATACAAGCACAAACAAGCACACACAACAATGCCATATGCATACATGGACATACTAGATTGCACTTTTGGTTGTTTGTTTGTTTAAATATACTCTGTGTAGTGAAAAACAAATGTGTCCAGTCCTGGTATTAAGATACAACGTTATTTTTTAAAGTGTGTATACGTGTGTGTGTGTGTGTGTGTGTGTGTGTGTGTGTGTGTGTGTGTGTGTGTGTATTAAACTTAGGGCTTCTTGCATGCTAGACAAGTGTCCCAGCACTAAGCTGCAATCTATCTCTCTTATTAAAAGGCATGGGATAACATTCTTGGCTACATCATGAAAAGTATTATTTTATCACTGTTTTTGTTTCTTTCAGTTGCTATAAGAGGAATGTAGAATGTTTCCACTTACCTAATTTATTGTGCTTATCTGGGTATCTTTCCTTGCCTTGGCCACTATTCCTACCAAAAAATAAGGAGAGGACACTAAATGGATTGGATAAAAAGTTTCAGGACAATGTCTGTTGGGAAAGTCATTAGTGATGAACAGGGGAAACTGATCCCAAACTGAAGTTTAGTGTGGACTTCATTCATCTCTTTTCCCAGAGGTTCTGTATAATTAGATGTTGGCTATACCTGTTTCCCATTTACTTTAGTGACCGTAAAAACTTAGGAACTTTGACTCAGAGAGAAAATTGCTCTTCACACATCTCCCTTCTTTTAGCATTAAGTGCAATAGAACAATAGGCCTTGAGTTACTCATAGATTTCAGGTCACGTATATCGAGAAACTCTAAAGAGCCATTGATGCACGGCACTCATTCTTTCCTTCACTTTTTGCTCAGTGGGCACAGTTCCCAGAATAAAATTGTGTTTAGTTATTAGGCAGTCTTAATTCAAGATACATATAAATTTGTTTTAAAAATGATTTCAAGGTGAAAATTCTTTCTTGACTGTTTTACCTCTGCACTTAGAATTGCTAAGACTTGATTAACTCCTGTGTGATTTTGTCCACAGGTTCTGTAATTTATTAAAATAAACTTTAAGGGGTCCAAGATAACTCAATGAGTTAATTTGGACAATGGTCTTAGATCTGAACTGCAAAATCACCAATAGTTATGAAACTGGAGCTCTGTCTTTAAATCTCCATAACCAAAGCAAAACAGCTTTGCTACCAAAAAATAGTCTTTCCTCTTTTAATATTGCTTTTCCTAAGTATTTGAACACAAAAATATCAGATTAATATTAATTATAAAGCATTGAGATTGAAGTAAGAAATTGAACAACACCGAAATAAGTGGAAGATATCCAATATCCTGTTTTCTGGGGGCAGAAAGCTTAATATTTTCAAAACTGAACCTGAAGACTCAATGCACTCTCTATCAAAATTATAAACAATAGCTGTTTTCAAAGAAATGGAAAAAAGAAAAGAAATAGTATTCATATGGAGCTGTAAAACACATTGAATAACCAAAGTAAGTTTGAACAAGAAAAATGAGGTACAGGCATCAGAAAACATACTACAAAATGCTAGTACCCAAAACAGGAACCTGCTGCTGTAAGCATAGATGCAGAGACCAAAGGAGAGGGATAGAACTCAGATATAAACTTACATATTCGCTATCACAGCATTGCTGACAAAGATGCCAGTAATGTCCCAGCCAGCGGGATCTTCAGCAGAGACCCTAGAAGGGGAAATGGCGAATGAAAGGGACAAGAGACACAAAGAATTGACAGCAAGACAGTATTCTGATCAAGCTGCAAAATTTTACTTTTCTCAAGTGGGTTTTACAGTAATCAGACCAGGAAACTTTTCTTTGGGAAAAGATCAGGGGACTGTTGAGTTGCCAAGCAACCCAACCAAGCAACCTAACCACAAAACATTGTTACTAATGGTCACTGTAGCAGAAAGATAAGGAAATGTTAAGTTATTTTCTAATAACTCAGGACTTGTCCAGGCATGTCAAAAGTTTCTGGTTAGTGGCTCAATACTGGGCAACAGAAACTTAACTCAGACAGGCAATATGGCATGGCTCTTAAAATTGTCCTCGGCACAGTAACGCATGATGGGGAAAAGAAAACTTATGGAGAGGTAGTGAGGAGAAAAATTGGATATCTACATGAGAATGAAAGTGGATGCACCGTATGTGTAAATCAATGAATTCAAGACTTAAAACAGGTGTAGGCAGTGGTTCAAATCTGCGATCTCAGGACCAAGCAGGCTGAGGCAGGAGGATCACACAATCAAGGCAAAATTGAGCTGCACTGAGATCCCATGAATTTAAAAAGCAAATAACACAAACTAAAGATCTGAACAAAATGACTGAAGAGAAGAAAAAGAGGGACAACACAAGCACTGGTACTGACAGTATGTTGTGTCATGACATTAAAAGAGAAGATGAGCAAGTGGCACTACATCAAACTGAAAAGTTTCTACACAGTAAGGGAAACAATAAACACAATGAAAAGTCACCTTAGAACAGGGAGCCATGTTTAAATCACAATTTGATAATATCTAAAATAAATAAGGAACTTACATAAAGTAACAGGGAAAAAAATAAATGAACCCTGATTTTAAAACATACAAAGGACTAGAATAGATGTTTTTCAAAATGAGCAAACAAATGCCCCGTATATTGAAAGACTGTTCAGTGTTACTTAGCATCAAGGAAAAGGTAAATCTAAATCACACTGAGTTACCGTCTTCCATCTGCCAGCACAGCTATTATCAAAAAGTTGAAAGAAACCATCTAAGATGGTGCAGTGAAAATGAACTCTTGCCCACGGCTGGGGAAAATGTCACTTAGAATGGCTATTTTAGGAGACAGTGTGGCATTTTTTTCCTAGTGGTGATACATCTAGATGGAAGGAATCAGTATCTGATAGTACGATCTCCATCCATGTAAGAACCATGACATTTTTCAAAGTAAACAAGATGTGAAATGCACAAAATGTTCTCCAACAGAGGAACTGCTAATGCCATCTATATTTATATGTGCATATGAGGTGTGCTTTAACTTAAAAAAGCTTAAACACAAATGGATTCAAGAGATGCATTTATATACTTCTATAACAGCAATAATACTAGAAAAAGGGACTGTGAGTTTGGAAGGGATTAATGGGTGGGGAGTGGAAGGAGGTTAAGGAAGGGAAGTAAATGCATTTTAATTAGCATTATATTTACAAAGTAAATTTTACCAACCATGACAATGTAGGCAAACATAGATATTATGCTAAGTGAAGCCAAACATGGAAAGACAAATATTACCTGATCTTACTATATGTGAAGAAAATAAATAAATAAATAAATAAACAAACAAACAAACCTACCAGGACTGTGGTCATCAGGGACTGAAGCAGTGTAAGAAATGGGAAGATGCTGTCTAGAGGTAAAGTATTCTGTCATAAGACAATGTACTCTGGAGACGTAATTGACAGTGGGCGACTATAATTAATAATAATACCTTGTCTGCTTATACTTTGCTAGGCAGGAGAGCTAGAGGATTTGCACCACACATAAAAAAGCAATGTGTGTTGATGGATACATTATCTATGTTAACTATGACAACCATTTCAAAATTTATATCAAAATATTATGAGTACAATGCTGTGTAGCTCTAATATGTAGAACTTTATTAATAAATTATACCTCAACAACAATGTAAAAGATAGTTCTTATAAATTAATGGACAAAGTTAAAACTTTTGAGTTTAGACTTTAATCATATTTTCTATATATCTTATCTACACTCCTCTTGTTATCATTTTTTACATGATACATATAAAATGTAGATATTTTTCTGTACCAGTGAACTTCCATATTTTCCTAAAATACTTTCAGTAAAACTAGAATCAGCTTAAAAAAGAAAGACAGAGAGATGGTAGGGCGAAATTAAGTAACAGATTATTCTGGCAAACTGAAAAATAATTCCAGAGCTACCAAACACTCATGTAATTAGGATATAATCACTTTTAGTTGGTTTATAGAAACTTGATCCTTAAATATTGACTAACCTTGAGTATTAAAGAAAAGATTATGGTGTTGCATTTTAAAATGTGAATTATGGAAGAAAAAGGCAAGTAAGAAAAAACTAAATTCCTTAGCCAGATCCTAAAATAATTATATATGATTAAGTTCAACTATATTCAAATTAGAAACTTGGAGCACATCAGTTAATAAACCAGATTAGAATGAAATAACACAAATACAATGACATAATCTATTGGCTCAAAATCTGTTATGTCTATTGATGTGTGAATTCATGAGAAAGGCATTCATGATCTTCCACGACTTGGACTACCACATAATTTAACTGAGTTCCACACATGACACCAGTTCCTTTCTTTCACTGCACAAGTACTGATGCTGACCATCAGCTAACGTCTCTAAGTCCTGTTGTACTTTAATGTCTTGGCATTAATATAGGCTAATTTATAAAGTAATCATCACTTTCCCTTTCTTTATAAAGTGAAATCTCAGAACAAAAAAGGAAGCTAAAATGTTTTATCAGCAGTGGCTGTGTCCTGTCTTCAGTGTCTGGATTTATTAGTAACTGAAGAATTTGAAGTGCTCAACAGCAACTGAATGCATTTGTTTCATGTTGTGTGTTCATAACACGTTTAGTAATTTCCTAGAAGTACCAGTTTCATCAGTGTCTTCCATCAACTAAAGATGTAAGGACTTTGTAACCAACTTAGCAAAGGAAGTATTTTGTATACAATATGTAGTTAAACCCTGAGCTAAATATCCTTTGATCACAGCTTTTTCGTCTACACGTGCTTTTCCATAACTTACCCTTCACATGACTAGGCAATGACATTTCTAAGTACACAAACTGACTATGCAGTACCCTGCAGTACTTGTTCATCTCCTGAAAGGGGGAAAAATAGTTCCAAGTTATTGGCCAGCCTACAAAATCTTTTATATAATCTTTGTGTTTTTAGGCTTTCCTCTCACATCAAAATATGGATTCTGTACTACCTTTCTCAAAGACCTCCAGATCTCCAGATTCCTTGTAGGTTTTTTCTCCAAGTTTCAATAGATTTCTGTCCTTCTCCCTTCCGTTCATCCCCTACAGATATCGGAACTAAATTTTATCTGTTCATCTCTTTGCTAAGCTTCTAACTTATTTCAAAAGCCTTCTTAAAGATTCCCTTCTTTATGAGGACTCTGAAAAGTCTCCAAGACCTCTCCTCATATTACATCAACATGTTTATATCTGCATAAAAACATTAAGGAATGTGCATGGTGTGTGTGTGTGTGTGTGTGTGTGTGTGTGTGTGTGTGTGTGTGTGTGTGTGTTGATCTTGGCTGTAAAATTGATGGGACTAAGAGACATCCAGGACCAATGATAGGTACTTCTATGTCTGTGGGGTGTCTCTAAATCTTATTGAAATTTCAGGTGGTTTGAGGTGTTCACTCTCCCCAAATATAGCCTACTCCTTCAGAGGTGTTGGAAGCCTATAATGGAAGGAACTGAAGATGAATTAAGATGCAGTTGACAACCCTTTCTAGAGTACTTGGTGGGTTTCAGAAAATGCAGTCAAGTACTTTGAACACTCAGGAAATTCACTGCTTAACCTTTTCTTTTATCCCTTTGGAGTCGCTAAAAGTGGCCTTCACTGTAGTTAGCTAATACACTCAGATAAAAGAATTTTAAAATCTTTATAACTCTCAACGAACATTCTGACTCCATCTTGAGGATAGAAGCCATTTTGTTATAAGGTCAAAACAAGTTCATTTCTGTTTGTTGCAGAATTCAAATCAACCATGCTTGAACCTGTTTCTAGAATCTGACATGCTCCCCAACTTGTGGAGTTTGTCACACTTTGAATGTACCCTTGTAAGTAAAGATATTCTGCCAAATATTTTTGAAATGTTTGCCAAGTTCCCACATAACTAACAACCATTGGAAAGCCCCTAGCCTTGCAGTTTTGAGGGCAACATAAGCCCCACCATTTCCTATGTTCAATGAGATTTTTTTCAAACCCTGCTTTAGGAAGAGAGCCCTGTCTGACAAAAAATAAAGCTTGCTTAATTTGACCAAAGAATTTGGGTAATGGTCTTAACTCTCATTCAGTGAGATTAACTAACCTGATCAGAAAACTGTTTTTTTATCAACTCTTGATATGATAAAACGTGTTTTTATTGAAATTATTACAAAGGTAACAGTAAAAGAAATTTTTTAATAAATGTGTGTTCATGTGGGATAAATTCACCATAGTACTAAGGTTCAATAACTAGAATAATATACTGAGGTAGCTCTGGACCTTAGAGGGCTGAATGTTGAGCAAGTTGAAATATTGGCCTGATGTAGCAGAAATGTCTTCAAATTAAAAATTATAAAACTATAACCTTGACAAAAACAAACTAATCAGCAATATAATTCTATCTTATTAAAATGGCTCTTGAAATTATATCTGAGATTTCTTACCCAAAAGAAACCCACAGGATCTGAGGCTTTGCAGAGTTAATTATAATCAGCAATTTTTCCAAGTGGAAAGTATTTTCCAGAGTGGAATCTGAAGAGTCATTCTATAAATTGAGTGGCAGAGTCGTTTTTAGGAACTCTGTATCTTGTGTCTGACTGTTAATATTTGGAAAAAAGTCCTACATTTTCCTGAATTTTTATCATATAAAAATCTGCATTAAAATGTTAATTACACCCAAAAATATTTCTCTATATTCATCATATGCTTGATAACTCATTTTCTTCTACCAAATAATGTGATACACAATTAAATACTCCAATAAGCAAATTTTCC